CATCTGTGTCTTCAGAAGTTATTTTCCACCCTCAATAAACAGGCCAGCCATTGTCACATGGAGGGCTCTCGTTATTATTTTTTGAAGTAATTACACCTTATTATGTGTGTTTACTTTAGCGAGGGTGAGTGCAGGTGTGGGACAGGGAGTTGTGGGTGGTGCTGCTGAACAGTTGCCCCTGTGAGTCATTTTTTTTTCTGCTCAAGGTTTGGGCATTGTAGCTGCGCTCTGCCACTAATTTCAGACCCACAAAAGAAACGTGCAATTAGGCCTATTATTGCAGCAGCTGCGCTCGCTGCTCGACGGCCCCCTGTCTTCTCCTGGCTCATGCTGGAGATGCTCACTGCGCTCACAGACCCCCAGAGCCACACGGCAAACAAATATGCAGAGGTTATCACTAGAGAAGCCTGCATCATGAGCTGGCCTGGATCACACAAAGCAAGTTGTGATAGGATGTTTAATTTACTCTAATATTTTTCCCCAGATATATTTATAATTTTAAAATATAGCATGTTTTATTCATTTTTTTATTGTTTATCTATCTTCGTGGTTATGTTTGTGTGTGTGTGTGTGTATATATATATATATATATATATATATATATATATATATATATATATATATATATATTAGGGTCGTTGTGATAACATTAATTAATCTTACGATAATATACCAGCTGACAGTGTTGGGCAAGCTACTTGAAAAATGTAGTGAGCTAAGCTATTAGCTACTCTACTTAAAATGTAGCTTAACTACACTAAAGTTACCCTCTTGGAAATGTAGCAAGCTAAGCTAAATGCTACATGGCAAAAGTAGCTTAGCTACATCTAAGCTATTTTTACAATTTTCACTTTTAAATCGAAACAACTTAAATCCAGGTCAATCATATGTTAGTGATCAATAAAACTGTCAGTGAAACATATGAGGCAGAATGGTTCATTCCAGATAAAGATAAACACATTATAGTATGTAACAGATAAAACAAAAAATCCAATAAAACCAGGTGTTACACAATTAAAATACTTAGTATACAAAAATACTAGTATAAAATACTGAGTATGCTTAAAATACAAGTAATTCATAGTAAAGGGAAATACTTAGCAATAAGCATTATAGATAGATGGATGGATGGATGGATGGATGGATGGATGGATGGATGGATGGATGGATGGATGGATGGATGGATGGATGGATGGATGGATGGATAGATAGATAGATAGATAGATAGATAGATAGATAGATAGATAGATAGATAGATAGATAGATAGATAGATAGATAGATAGATAGATAGATAGATAGATAGATAGATAGATAGATAGTGTTTACAACTCTCTACAATAAAAAAGTAGTATCATTATTAGCTTTTATACTAGTAGCTATCATGAGCTAATAATAATTTAGCCTTTACTACAGTAAACTAATATATAAATATATATATATATATATATATATATATATATATAAAACAGGAAGAAGAAGAAGTTTTATATATATAAAACAGGAAGAAGAGGTCGTCATTCTTGCCATCATATAGATTTACTTTCATCCGCTAGACACCGGCCTCACAGCTCTGTAAATGTCAGTGCTGTCACTTATTGATCAGTGATCACTAAATGTAGGTTGTGTGGACGCTACTGCGCTACTTGCTAAAAATAAAAGTTTGCTACAGAAAAGCTATTTGATTTAGAAAGTAGCACTACCACCAAGCTACTGAGAAATTTAGTTAAGCTAGTAGCTACTGCCCAACAATGCCAGCTGAAGTAGTAGTATTGCGATACTTTAATTCATAACTCAGTTATAAAGAAATTTGTCATAAATACTGTATTTTATGTTATAAAAGGCCTACTTGAATGTAACATAATTCCCTTAAGACCAAAAAGTATTATTTGCACCCCACTTCACCTAACATTTTTTTTTATTTATTTTGTAGATAACTGACCAACAAAAATACAAAAAAATAACGATACAAACCATCATTATACAATACCATGTCCAATTAACCAAACCTGCCAAGTTGTAGTTAAGCCTTTAAAAGTCACTTTAAGCTGTATAGAAGTGTCTTGAAAAATATGTAGTCAAATATTATTTACTGTCATCTTAGCAAAGATAAAATAAATTAGTTATTAGAGAGGAGTTATTAAAACTATTATGTTTAGAAATGTGTTGAAAAAAAATCCTCTCTCTGTTAATGAGAAATAGGGGAAAAAATAAACAGGGGGCTTATAATTCTGACTTCAACTGTATGAATGTGTGAGTGTGTGTGTGAGTACATATAGTCAAGCATGAAATTATTCATACCCCTGGGATATAAATAATTTCGGCCTTGACCATATTATATATTTTTATAAATGTTAAATATGAAAAAATAATTAATACTTTCTAAAATAAATAAGCAGGCCATCTGTTCCAAAATGTGATAACAGAAGTTTCCAATATTAGCATTTAAATTTTGCTGAAATATATACAGCATATTTCCTTCCAAAAGTATTATATATAGACATTGATGACTACTGCATAGAAGTCAAAATTACTAAACATATTAATATAGTATACGCTTTAATGCATTAATCTTTCCTCCTGACTGATTTATACAATTTAGCATTGAGTTTTTAAGATTCATCATCATTGATTTAAGATCAGGACGAGTGACCTGTTGACACGATTCAAATCCAAATACACAAGCAATTGCAAATAGGACAAAAGAAATAATACAGCGGAAAATACTATACAGGTCTAAAGATTGTGCCTGCGTAATCATCCTCACGAACGGAGAAGCTGACTTTTGGGGAAGCCACAAAAAGACCCACCTTTCTCAAACACAAGAGGCCGATCTTCCGCCTTCAGGCACAAACAAAATGGCCCTGGAATCTCCACTGTTGCTCTCACTTAGTGATTTTCACACCTCGATGACTCTCCAACAATTAAAATAATGATCCAGCGCAGAGCACTTATTTTGAAGGGCATGGGTGGATTTACATGTTATGATTTGTGCGCGCCTGCAAGATGTGGGTGTCCCTGATGTCAAAAAAGAGGATGTAATCATAAATTTGACATCAGGTCATTAAAGTCAAAAATCAACAACTCAAAATCTATTAAACACACAGAGCAAGTAGATGCAGGACGTTTTATAGGCGTTCAAAAGTGATGACGATAACTATATGAGCATCCACACCAACACGTGATAGGCTATTGTCCTGTTTTAGTTTTTTGACTGCCACTTTAATGCAGGCTGGATTTTATTATTGCTGATCACATGAAGATTGTACTCAGGGTGCTTACAACGATGTACTAAAAATTTCAAGTAAATATGGAAATGTCAAAATGATAAAGAAGTAAATACTGTTGTTCAAGGTCAATCTTTGGCCATGTCAAATGACAATGTTTACATAGACATCAGTAATGGAATTATTAGCCTTAATCTGATTAAGACTATATATGTGCTCATACTTGGGAGTCCCTGTCAGAAGTACTACTTGGTCAAGTATTTTTACAGAATCTCTTTTGTTTTGGTTGTAAAGAATGTCTGAATGTCTATAATCTCAGCGTATAATATGCACAACATTACTGTTTTCACCAAAATCTAATTTTTGTTAGCACGAAGACGAAAATGGCTTGGTTTTAAAACCCTTGTACTTTGAACCCGTTTTAAAAGATTGCAATTTAAGACCAATGAATATTTAAATGCAGAACTGACTTAATAGCGAGATGCATTAACTTTTTTGAAAACAGTGGCTGTTTCCTTCCACTTATTTTTCTATGCATTTTGGATATGCACATCAAAAAAAAACTGTTAATGGAAACGCCAAGATGTAAATCAATTTTACATTAAGTAGGAAAAACGTTTTATTCGATAAGAAAAGGATGAAACTACGATGGAAACACTTACCGAACAAATTCCAGTGTGCGCATTAAAAAGGTTTAAAAATGCGATTTTGTTACATGAGATCAAGCGATGCTAAAAATGTTGGCGAATGGACAAACCAGCAGGCTGAGCACATTGTAAAACATCTGAAATAATGTTTTGGTTATTAATATTATTATTTCACTCACCTCCAGAATCAAGAGCGTCTGTGCTCCGCATCTCACGCCTTGCAATGAAGGCATTTGGTGTCTGCATTGTTATCTGAGGCACAAGTCATTTATTAAATAAAGATTCACACAGCTTCTCCTACCTAAATTCTATTTTTACTTTTGATATATGGCGCCAGTTAATCAGGAAGTGACGATTTAGTTCTCTTTGACTCATTGGATGGAAACACTGCTTTATTCGCACGTCTTTTATGAAATATTTTAGTTTTTGCACATAAATTTAATTCACATCTGTGGATGGAAGCATAGCTAATGTGATGATAACACCCCCTAGAAGCAATTTAAATTTTTTTTTTGTTCTGCCATATATATATATATATATATATATATATATATATATATATATATATATATATAAATTTTTTATTTTCTTTTCCTCTGGGATTTCACCTTTAATGGACAGGACAGTACAGATTATTGACAGGAAAGCATGGGGAGCAGAGAAAGAGGAAGAATCGGCATAGGACCACGAGGCAGGAATCTAACTCGGGTCACCATGCGCACCAGGAAGCATGTGTCGACGCACTAACCACTACACCCCTGTCACCAACTCTGTCATATATCTTTAACGCTATAGTACAGGTTAAATAAGGGTACATTGACATGACACCATTGTTAATCACCATTAGAACTCCATGTTTTGTTCATTTGTTTACGTCTATCATCCCAAAGAAAGGCTTATTTGTGAAAACCATAATGTCATGCTTATGCACATTACTTTTTCAGCCTATAGGCAGGAATATGTACTTGACAAGCAAAACGTCAGTGGTAAAACTGGTGCATAATGAGTCTTCACAAAGGCACGTAAAAAAACAAGATTTCAGTTGTTTTTGTGGATACATTAGAACAGGGATCATCCTGCTAATAAAATATGCTTCGGTTTGAAGTTCATTTTAGTCATGTAAACGTACAATTTCCAAGCTTTGGGTTTATTGTCATTGGAGCGTAAGGGCATTTAGAGCGATAACAAACCAATGCAATTCACATTATAGCCATTTCTCAATTTAGGATCCAAAACAAATAATCATTCCAATCATTTACAAATTATATTTTGAATTCAGGCGGAGGTGGAAAATATGCAACACAAGGCTTTAACACATGAACAAAATGATGATGTGTTCCTCTGCGGTGGGAGATGCTTTACTGGCATTGATTTCAGCTCATTACGTCCTCGGGACTCACAGCCACAAATCCAGAGAAATCGTTTTTTTGGTTGGGAGGGAGTGCGGCTGGGCAAATTGGCTTCTGGTTCATTGTGGGAGCCCTCGCTGTGAGGAGCAAAAGAGCAGGGCCCGGTCGGCAGTGGGCAGGCCCAGGCAGGACCGGCTGGGGCCTCATGCTGTGACCACCTCCGTGCCTCTGACAAACACTTGACTGGATAATCTCGCCACCAGAGACTCTTGCCAGGCCCCCATGGGTTTAAGGGAAGTGTCAGGGCACAGCAGAGCAGCTTCAGATCACGACTCTGAGCTCCTCTATGGATGTGTGTGCAGTTGCATCACCGCTCACCATCCGAAAATATTTACCAGACTTTACTGATTTACAAATCAATCAATGCTCTGTTTGTAAATCTGCTAAAAAAGAAGAAATCATAATAGGGAAAACCTGTTTTATTATCAATCATTAACACAATCTTTATATAAGAGGAAAGGGGGGGAAACAATGATATCGGGTTTTAAATGACTCGCTTTTTACAACGCTAGGCTTCTTACAGAAGTAATGAGAGAAGTCACAATTTCTATTGACAGAACGAGGTGACAATATTCATATCTGGGAAAAAGTCCATTTTTTTAAACTTATGTAATCCACCGTTATGAGGTTTCCATCTTGTATCCGTGTTTTTCAAGCTCCGCTCTAGATGAAAGGAAACGGAAAAAAATGTTAAATTTGCAATAACTCATAAAAGAAATATAGATGGCTTCAAATAAGAACTTTTCTTTAATAAAATACATTTTTCACATATTTCAGTAATCATGTTTAAAACATTTATTCTTTTATCTAATATCCACTCATTACACATTTATAACTATTAGGGCTGTGCGTTTTGGGGAAAATATCTAATTGCGATTTGTTTTTTTGACAGATATTGCTATTGCAATTTGATTTGTGATTTCATTTTGTAGTCAAGCTTCAGCTCAATAATCTGCAAGTAATAGCAACAATTCTGCAACAGCTCTTAAAAATGACCTGGTTTGGTTCAGTGTCTGCGAGTTTGAAACCAAAACATTCGCATATTAACAAATGCTGTTTTTCTTTTATGTTAATTCATTATTGCTTTTGAAACAGCAGATACCATTATCCCACTTGTCTGCGCTTTCCTGTTTTTGTTTTTTATCATGGGCGTTTCGCAGAGTTCAATTCTATTCAATTCTGATTGGGCAGAAAGTGTGCTCACTCAATTAGATAGTAAGAATTCACACACAGACGGCAATCTCGCATTTGCTCTGGGCGGGGGAAATGAAATAATCCAAAAATATTGTACATAACTAAATGCTAATTTCAAATAAATCGCACAGCCCTTATAACTGTTAGTTTTTATAGTGCTGGAAATCAAATGGGGAATTTGTGAGAAATGTCAACAGATTTATTGCTTATATATAGGCCCATATGAAATCTGTGCACACAGATTACCACAGATTTTTATTCCACCACTGAGTCCATTTATTTACTTGTGTAAATGTGAGTAAATTTATATTTATTTAGTTTTTTTAATCAATTTCTGTAATAATATTGACCTAATATAAAAAAATTGGTCTTTTGATTTATTCACAATACAATTTTTAAAGTAATAATTTCTGTCTTTTATTGGATATTTTATGACAGACTTGTGTTGTTTACCCAATAAATGGATCTACATATATGAATTTGCATTTTAAGCACTAAAAAAAAAAAGTTTAAAAAAATATTCTTTTTTTTATTTCATACTTTAAGTTTTGTTACAGTTTTACTAAAATCATTATGCATAAATCCACAGATTTTTAAAATAATTCTGCGCAGAAATAACAAAAAATGTCTGGCTTTATTTATAAGCATCAGGAAAGAGAAAATAATGTATTTAATTTAATGTACCGAGAAAAAAAGTTACTTTACTATAATTAGATTTTAGTAATTTTATATAGAATTTTAGTTTTTAATAAGATTTTATTTTCAATTTTCTATTTCCATTTTTAAAAAATTTAAATTCTAAAAATGTGTTTTAATCAACCTTTTAAAAACTGGTATAAATTTATTTGAATTTCTATTTGAGGTATTCTCAAAGATTAGGTTATATTTATGTTTTTATAACTGAGCTCTTTTTATTTTATTTGATATAAAGTTTTTTTTTTGTATTTACAACATTACTTTTTTTTTAACAAATATCCCCATTTAATTTTTATTATTTAGATTCCAGCTTATGTTTTTCCTTATAGTACATACAAAATTTAGTACAAAACTTTTTACATTAGCAACAAACTGATATACCAAAGGTTTATTTATTTATTTTTTACAGATTTTCGAGTGACATTTTTTTATATATAGTTAAATGTTTAATTATAATAACCTTGATAGGAAGCATAAACTATATAACATAGCAACTTACTCTTATATTTTATACTTTTAAACATCTATGTAAGCATATTAAATGCCTGTATGTACTTGGGCCAAGTCCTCACAGATAGTAAAGTTTGTGAATGTGGTTTGAGGCCACCATGAATGTCGGTTAGCCATTGGACTATTAGTTCCCTTAGGGAGGGTTTTCTTCTAAATTAGTTTAACCACACCAAATTCTTTAGACAAAATGTGGGCTTGACAGAAAGTTAATATGCTAGCAGATTATAAGAGACACTAGAACACCATAATGTTTACCAGGAATTGCATACTGTGAAGTTAGATTAAACTAGTATACTCCTTATTTAGTGCAACAATAAAGCATGCCCCGTATTTCATATACATAATTTATACATTGATAATGCATCTCCTACCTCAGCTGATTAGAAAAGTCATCCTCTACGTTGTCGTCATCCCAGTTATCTTCCCAAACATGAGCATCCTCATCTTCATCCAGGCCCGTCCAGTCTGAGAATGAGACAACAGCTCAGTTCAATAAGATGATTAACACGGGCTTCAATGTTGACTTAATGTTAATGCACAAATAAGAGTCACAGAACAGACTGTACAGAGCATTAAACATACATACGTTTAACAAAAGCAGTCATTGACTTCAAATTGAGCAAATGACAAGTGTACACAATGTATAACATTAGCTTCAGAGATGCTAAAATGCTAACTACTAAAACGTTTTTTTTCCACGGCTGTGGACTAACTTAGAACACGCTCAGATGTATTATTTAAAAACGTATAAACAATTTATAATTATTAGATTCCTTTAAAAAACACGATATGTTAACAATTTGCTGTATAAAGAATGTTTTGTCAGTTAGCATGCTACGTTAGCTGTGCTAGCTGAGTCACTGTCCTGTCGTGGATGTTTATTATCTCTAAAACGAGCAAAAAAAAGCTAATTTCTGTTCATTTTCAGTTCACTTACCCTCTGCTGGGAATTCCTCAAATTCATCATCCTCCTCCAAAAGCCCCAAATCCACTGTTTGCTTCTTTTCTGACATGTTGTGTTTCTGTGAACAGCGTGGACACTCGACGTTATGAACTGAGAGAAATGTTCTGGTGCGCATGCGCAAAACCGTGCTACCGATTGCGCCAAGCTTTTTAACATGCACAAGGGCTTCACTGCCTTTTTATAAGCCAAGCAGTTTGAAGTGTTTATATAAAAAGCTTTATATAATAGATATCGCCGAATGAGCCATATGGTTTATAGTAGTCTTCTAATATTATCAACGTGCTTGCAGTATTACAATTATAGATTAAATGTAGGCTACTTTGAAAGTAATCACTGGTGTATTAAAAAAAACAGCGGAACGAACCGCCAACTGATTCAGCACATGCTTTACGCAGCGGATGCGCTTACAGCTGCAACCCATCACTGGGAAACACTTATACACTCCCATTCACACACATGTACTACCGCCAATTTAGCTTATGATGGCTTGCAGCTGCAAGGGGATCCGCTGCGTAAAACATATGCTGGATAAGTTGGTGATTCATTCCGCTGTGGCGACCTCTGATTAATAAAGGAACTAAGAATATGAATGAATGAATGAAATACGCAATAAATATAATATAATATAATCCATATTATAACAATTTAAATATTTGATTTAAAAATTAAGCCTATTATTATTATTATTATTATTATTATATTTTATTATTATTTTCACGTTGTATGGAAAAATATTATAAATATTATTTATATTTATATGTTTTCAATAAATAGATTAATCATAATTGATGTGTTCACATTTTAATTATATGTTTATCAGATTTCATTTTTAAATATTATATCGGATATTATAATAATGTATCCTTTTTGCAAGAAATAGTTAAAAGATTTACCCTTTTTTTTCCAGGAACCACACTGTGAAACCCAACAGTCAACTTGATCACACAAAATGAGTGTAGTTGACTCAAAATTTACTGAAAGTTAGTTCTACTCATTTGAAAAGAGTTTTGAACTCAATGTTTAAACCCATAGTAACTTGAAACTGCACTTGACTTAATTTTTATAATTATGCAAATTGTACTTACTTTTTAAAAATAAAAGTAAACTAATCACTTTTTCCCATTTATTGTATTTAGTTTTTTTCCCCCCAACTTTTCTGTATCTACAGGACAATGACAGTTTCATAAATCTGCTCTTCCAGACTCCAGTGGGTTTTATTACCTTAATACAGGCTATAAGTGTAATTTATAGACTTAATGAAGCATCAAATATGTATTACTGTGATAATTACAGTAATTATTTAAAAACAGACGTGCTAAATTAGTCTGATACTGTAAAAAGGGATTAGTTGACTT